CACACAGAACAACGTAGACGCTCGTAACACGCGCGCACACTCACTCCTATGAACACACGTAAGATTGAGCTGGCAGATCTTGAGATTCATGAAGTCACCACAGACGCCTCGCTGTCGACGGGGGCGTCGTCTACCACTGAAAGCGTAGCGCCGTTAAATCCTAGAATAAATCCAAGAAAATATGACCACCCGTGCCAAGTCGAGGACTTGAACCTGGATGGACATGTTCCACCACAAGGAATCAACTAATCTATGATCAGTTCGCTTAATAGGGTGATTCGGCAATAGCATATGTTTCAAAAAAAAAAGATTTGGCAACAGCACGGTAGTGGCGTAGGCCGCCCTGCTGTGTATGGTGCCCCTAAACCGCGGTGTGTTTGATCATTCTCACGTGGATGGCGCTCACTGGGGTGGCTTGGCTGTTGCCGAATCATCCTAGTTTGATCAGACCAAAGTCAAATCCTCTTTGTCTAGGGATCTCTGGTCTGCTCATGGGAAGGAACTGAATCAAACAATCACTAGTATATGAATTAGGAATATATAGTCTCTAGTCACACAAACAACCTGAGCTATCCTTGGACCTAAAACGAGAGGTGCCCAGGTGGAGAACGGAAGAGTTCCCTAGAATGCGTTTTTTTAGGAAAAAAGAATTGAAAATATCTCTTCCTCCCAAGAACACAAATGAAACAGGCTAGAGTGGTTCTGAGTCCATCCATGAGACTTGCCCGATTGAGCTGCCAGATCACTAGTACTATACAAACAATGGATTATATACGCGGACGATGAAGGAGCTAAAGATGTGTCCATGGGACGAGCCGATTAAGGTGCCAGATCGCTGATGACATCCAAAGAATGGATTAGTACGTGGCTGATGAAGGAGCTAATAAAGACGTGGCGATTTGAGATACCAGTTTTTATGGTGCAAGATTCGTCTTGTATAAAAGATTCGTAGTGTTACATTCTCTCTACGCCGCACTTAGAGTTGACATCTCTCTCAAGACATAACAGAGGATGACTGGATATCAAGAGCCTTTAGGATACAAAACAAGGTGAAGAACAATCCCACAGGATGCGTGTCCTTTGGAAGAGATGGCAAACGTGGGATCCCACACGCTCATAGGTTCTGAATCCAACTTCTTCATGGACAAGAAGTCAAGAATGCGGACTGCTCGGCTGCTGCTTCCCGAAGTCAAGAAATGATCGGTGAGCCAAAGGATGCTGAGAGAAGATACGTGTATTTTACAAAACCATGATTTTTTTCCTAAAACTCCAAAAAAAATGAATCCAAACAAGGCTAGAGCCTAGGATGGGAAGTACTGGTAATGGTGTTAAAGGGCCAGGTTGCAAAAACGATGAGATCAAGGTAAAAGGCGGGATGTCACTTTAAAAAGTAATGAAAGGGTATATGTGTATCGATGTATATTGTTTATTCGAGAGATCATTATCTATATACTCTTTTTAATTACAAGATATTCTAGCTTTTCTAGATACACTGTTTTTTATATATCTAAACATAATGTATTTAAATACATAGCAAAAGCTATGGCTCTTTTCTTCATCACTACTTCAGCCATACTTTTCAGCGAAAAAATAGTATTTTCCTCTCATAACAAATTAGCATAAGCATCAGTATAAGCTAAATTTCAGCGAAACTGAGTAATTGGAAAAAGATTCACGGAACAAGGACAACTTCCATTAAATAAACATCTCAATACGTGAACAAGGACAACTTCCATTAAATAATTGGAGCGGTGTCATACTTCACATTTCATGCTACTCATATTTCACTTTCTGTGTTGCTAAAGTATTGATTTGCCTAGCAAGTGTGGAGCCAGAATTTAATAATAGTTGTAGTATTCTATTATAAAAAAAAAGAAACATATCAATTTATTAAACGGAACGTCTAGCGCCCAGACGTTAGGACTAGGCTAGCGTCCGGACGCCCTGCTTCCCATGGAGGCCCGCGCCACCCCGTGTCCCACGCCGTTTCGTTCCCACGCCCGCACCATGGTCCACGCGAGCTTCGTGTCCCACGCCCGCACTGTGGCGGCCCCTCCACACCCACGTGCATGCAGGCGACCGAGCAGCTACAGCAGGTGGCTACTGCAAAATGGGTCCCACTGCAACATGTGCAACGTCAAGATCTACTTTTACAACATCTAGATGAAACACTTTTAACATATGTTTGAAATGCTTGCAACATACGTATGAAACACTAGGAAGACAAGTTTATAGCCATTGCAAAACATATGCAATATCTAGATAAAATACTTGTAACATATGTATGAAATAGCTGAAACGCTTGCAACATGCATGTATATGCAACATCCTGATCTACTTTTGCAACATCCAGATGAAACACTTGCAACATACATCCGAAACAGATGAAATATTTAGGACATACATTTGAAAACACCATTGCAACATGTGCAACATCCCGATTTAATTTTACAACATCGACATTAAACACTTGCAACATACCTCTAAAACATTTGAAACACTTGAAATAGACGCTTGCAACACGCAGTTTCAGCGCAAACATCTCCTTGCTGCTTGGGAGAATGGATCCTTGTCGACATGTGGAGTTCTATCCCAGCCGTCGCGCGCTGCACACGTGCGAGTTCCGCCCCGGCCATGGCGAAATGGGTAGGCGGGTGCGAGATGTGCGTAGGTGGGCTCCACCTAGGCTGCCGTGAAGCTGCATGCGGACGAGCTCCACACATGGACGCAGCGAGCGGGGCAGGTAGAGGCGGAGGTCTTCCTGGCCACCGACCAGGTGTCCGGCCCCCGTGGTGGAGGCGGCAGCGGTCTCCCTTAGCATGGGCGGGCAACGCAGCAGCGGCTAGTAGAGCTCGTGCGTACGCAGCTAGTGGCGGCGCTCGGCCCTCGTGCGTATGCGGATGGCAGCGGCGCTCGTGCGGACGTGGACGCTAGCAGAGCTCGTGCGTACGTGACGAAGGACGGTGCGAATGGACTAAGATGTCGCTCATTTCTATCTTTTTAATTTTTTTTGGATAAACCGTGAGACCTACGGTCTGCAGCCAGCTAGCCGCGTCTAGACTGATCAACGTGAAACGGACGCGTGTTGCGGTGTATTTCCGTTTATTAAATATTTTTTTATAAATAGCAAGATGATGTATTAATTTTTAATTATTAACTGAAAACTGCAATCTTAGCGCGTGTTCCGCCCCCTCTCTCCTATCTATTTTCTGCTCCTTGACTTGACCCGTACTTCAGCGACCCGAGCCTCCGGCAATCCCCCGCCGAATTCCAGATCAAGGGTATCACGTCCAGCTCCAGTTACTGAGCGGAGCCGCTCCTGGCGCTTGATTTCTACTGGATACGGTGAGTTCCTTTGTAACCCGTCTCAGATCCCCTCCAAGCTTAAAGACCATATAAAAACACAATCCGTATTCAGCTGTTAGCTTAAAGCTTGACCGGCTCCAAGATCCAACGTCGTTTTCTAGGATTTATTATTTATAGCATTGAGCTAATTTCTGGGAAATTTAAGGATCGGTTTAGACTAAAAAACCTCGGATTTACAACAGCATAGCTAAACCAACTCTTCTTTTTTTTCTTGGGAAGTTCTCCCTTTTTCGAATCAATCTGAATAAGAAAGGAAACTCGGAACTTGCTAACTTGCTGTTTCTTGTGTTCAGTAAGTTGTCTGTAAGCCTTGTAGCTAGATGTACAATTAAGGGCCTGTTTGGATCCATTTGCTGCTAATAGTTAGCTAGCTAATAGGTCACAACTAATATTAGCTGCTATTAGCTAGTTTGGTCTAACTTTTTTTTTCACGATCGGACCATTCACCCGTTTTTCATTAAGAGGAATAAAGCATCCGAAACACAGTTTGGTCCAACTAGTGAAATAGTTGTTAGTTAGGTATTCAACTAACAATTAGCAAAACTATTAGCTAGACATGTTTGCATCCAAACAGGGCCTAAGCAAGCTCATGAAATATTCGATGACCGTTCCATCCGATCATAAAAAAGTGATGTTTTGAGGTTGTTTAAAGTCAACCATTCCAAACTTTAACTATTATTTACCCTTTTATATATTGAACTTCAATGTTTGGAAGTGATCGGAGCAGATTTATCTTTATAATTAGTTTCATAAAAAAATACGTTTTCTATATTTATCGATAATATAGAAGAAAAAGTAGAGGCCAAACTTTGGAATCTTGACTTCATACAACTTCAGAACGAGGGAGAGGCATCTAGGATCCCGCCCTATTCAACAAATTTGTGATTACTGCACTCATGCATGATATTTTTTTCTCGAAAACGTGTCCGTTGACACTTTTTTCATTAAGAGGAAGCATTTGTGCATGATAAGTTCTAAACTTTCCTTAGATCCATAAAATTGGTACGTGCGTTGTCGTGTACTAGTTAATTTGTAACACATTATGCGTCGTTTACATGTACACCTTCACCATTCTAGTTTTCAATAGCATAATGTTGTGGATCCTGAAATTTACAGCTAGGCATAGCCTTATATAGTTATATATGCACAACAGAAGTAATGTCTATTTTTATTTTGGCATAATTACATAATAAGTTATCATGTGCTTGTCAAAACAGGGTGTGGTTTTCATAAAAAAAAGGGGTGTGGTGCAGTTAGGGGCACCAAAGAAATTGAATCATCAATTCTATAAGAGTACATAAAAGGTAGAGATGATATTTCGCTTTTGCTCTACATATGCAATTATATATGTGTATTGTACAAGGGTCCACCTAGTGCTAGTTAGAACTTAAAAGGGACCTGACATCTGATTATCTTATGAGTAGGGTATGTTCATATACGCTAACAGTAACAGATCCTGGGCATGCTGTCATAAACTTTGCTCTTTCAGCTTGCCCATCAGAGGAAAAATAATTTCTTTCATTTTTCGAGTCTCTATGGTAAAGCATGGTGTTGGCTGCGCATCCACCTTAACATTTTGGCTTTTCCCTTTTAGGATCAATGCATTTCAATACTGAGAAGAAGCCAACAGTGCAATGGCAGAGGGGGTTGTCGGCGTCCTTATTCTGAAGCTTGGTTCAGCCTTGGTTTTAGAGGCTTGCAGGTTTGGCACAAAACGGCTCTACCATGAAGCTTCAGCCCTTGGCAGGCTCTTTGTTGAGATCCGTGATATCAAGGAGGAATTGGAGAGCATTCAATCTTTCCTACAAGGAGCCGAGAGATTCAAAGATACTGACAACAACACTGCCAACTTTATCAAGAAGATTTGTGGCCTTGCTTTCGACATTGAGGATGTTATCGATGAGTTTATCTACAAGATGGAGGACCAGCATGGTAGTTTTGCTGCAAAGATGAAGCGCCGGATTAATCGTATTTGGACATGGCGACGCCTCACGTCCAAATTGCAAGAGATCAAACTAAAACTAGAGAACGTTGATAAGAGAAATGTTCGATATGACATGAGAGGAATTGCTAGAGAAGATGGAAGCAGTGATGCTCCTTATAGATCTACCGACCAGATTTCTTACTTCCCCAAAGAGGAACATCTTGTGGGCATTGATGAAAACAAGGAGTTGTTGATGAATTGGCTAAGGGGTGATCTACAACAGCAAAGTGTAATTACAACAGTATGGGGGGATGGGGGGAGTTGGCAAGACCACTTTGGTTACCCATGTTTACAACACTGTGAAGGAAGACTTCGACAGTGCTGCATGGATAACTGTTTCAAAAGCTTACCAAGTGGAGGACTTACTGAAGCAGATCATCAGGGGATTTCAGAAAAGTGATTTGAAGGGTGAACTTCGTGTTGACATTATTGACATGGAAAGGAGAAGCCTAGTTGAGATCATCCATTATTATTTGCGTGGTAAAAGGTTTGTTTTAGTGCTAGATGACGTCTGGGGCGTTGACATCTGGTTCAAGATAAGTGATGCTTTTCCTACCAATAGCACTAGCAGGTTTATTATCACATCGAGGATACATCAAGTAGCATTGCTGGCTAATGGAAATTGCATAATTGAGTTGAAGCCACTAGAGGCACACCATTCATGGGAGTTATTTTGTAAAGAGGCCTTCTGGAAAAATGAAAACAAAATGTGTCCGCTGGAACTTAATAATTTGGCACAAAGATTTGTTGATAGGTGTAACGGGCTCCCCATTGCCATTGCATGCATAGGCCGTCGTTTGTCTTGCAGAAGCCCAACCTACTCTGATTGGGAAAGCTTGTACAAGGAACTAGAGTTGCAGATGACAAATAATGTGATTCTTAATGTTGTTGTTCTAAAGGTTAGTTTGGAGGATCTTCCATATATTTTAAAGAACTGTTTTTTGCACTGTACAATATTTCCCGAGGATTATTTGATCAAAAGGAAAAGGTTGATTAGGCACTGGGTAGCAGAGGGATTCATCAGAGAAACAGAGCATAAAACAATGGAGGAAGTGGCAGAGGGCTATTTGTATGAACTTGTCAATCGTAGCCTATTACAAGTAGTGGAGAGAAATGAAAGTGGACGAGTGCAGAGTTGACGAATGCACGATATTATTCAACTTCTTGCTCTGACAAAAGCAAATGAGGAAGGCTTCTGTAAAGTTTATGATGGCATGGGGAGTTCTTCAGCTGAAAAGACACGTCGCTTATCGATTCACAGTGCAAATATTAAGCAGTTGACTCAACCAACAGAGCTTACAGTTCGCTCAATCTATGTTTTTAGGAATGGTCTGACTATTGATTCACTTAGGTCTTTCTTGAAACATTTCTACTTGCTATCAACTCTAGATCTCCAAGGTGCCCAGATTGTGGAGCTGCCAGATGAGGTTTTCAACTTGTTTAATCTACGGTTTCTTAGTCTTCGAAATACTGAGGTTAGGAATATCCCCAGCACAGTTGGGGCAAAAAGGGGGCAGACCCAGCACCGGAGGCTCCCACATGAGTGGGGTCTGGGGAAGGGAAAAACCGAGGCAAGTCTTCCCCCCGCAAAATCTGCGGAGAGGCTGATGTTTACAATGCAAAATTGTTGGCTTTGCCTCCATGCAGCTACCGTTCCAGAGATAAATGTCAAAGGAGTTGTGGCCTGGATTGGAATCCAGGTGCCTAAAAGCATCAAATACCTGACAGGCTTGCAAGCCTTGCGGCTTGTTGAGGCGAGCTCAGAGACTTTATGTCATCTTGGTGCTTTGACACAGTTGAGAACTTTTGCCATCACCAATGTGCAGAGGGAACAATGTGCCGATTTATGCACTGTTATAATGAACATGAACCATCTTGTTAGCTTAGCAATTATGGCTATAAGTGAGAAGGAAACACTTCAACTGGAAGAACTTTATTTACCCCCAACTCTTTCAAAGCTTGAATTAGGAGGGCAACTGGACAAGAAAGCAATGCCCCGGATTGTATCATCCTTTTCAGATCTTGGTAACCTCACCTTATTGACCTTAGCATTCTCCAAACTTGATGAAGACTCATTTTCATGCCTCTTGACGTTGCATGGTCTATGTGGGCTTTGGGTTGATAAGGCTTATGAAGGGAAGAGGCTTCACTTTAATGCTACGTCTTTTCCAAATCTTCGACAGCTTGCAATATCAGATGCACCACAGCTCAACAGCGTTGTAATCGAACGAAGCGCATTGCAAAGCCTTGTTCAGATAACACTTGTAGATTGTCCAGAACTGAAGGCCCTCCCTGATGGCATTGAGCATCTTAGAACACTTGAGAAATTATATCTGCGAGGAGCATTGAAGAGCTCACGGAGCTATTTCAGTAATGAAGAAACACACGAGTCCAATGGGAATCTTGAGAAGATCGGTCATATCCGAAGGGTTACTGTTTATCCATGAAAAGGATGAGAAGACTTGGTATCATAAACCCATGTACTTGTGGACATGTGGTGGCCTTGTCGCGGATTGCATACTGGTTGTAACACCCTGGCTCAAGGCTTAATATGATTAATAGGATACTCATACCAACAAGTTGCAACTTTTTTCTAAAAGCCCATCTCTTAAGAACTCCAAGGTTAAGCGTGATTGGCTTGGAGCGATGGGTGATCGACCGGGAAGTTCTTCCCGGGGGCACATGAGTGAGGACAAAGTGCGCAGAAAAGACTGGTGTTGGTCTGTGAGGGCAGTCTATGTCCTAGTAAAGCTATCAGATGTAAGTAGGTCTGGCCTCGAGGAGGCGGGACGTTACAGAATGGTATCAGAGCCAACCCTTATGGTTTCACGGGCGCGTGTGTCAGTTGCGCATGGCTGGTGTGGACCCAGAGTGGTCACCCAGCATGGCACATGCGCTGGCACTGGACACACGGACGTGGCCAAGAGGGGACGTTCCTGACCTGGGGTTGACCGACGAGGACGTCGGTCTCCTAAGGGGGTGAGGATGTAACACCCTGGCTCAGGGCTTAATAGGATTAATAGGATACTCGTACCAACAAGTTGCAACTTCTTTTCTGAAAGCCCATCTCTTAAGAACTCCAAGGTTAAGCGTGCTTGGCTTGGAGCGATGAGTGACCGACCAGAAAGTTCTTCCCGGGGGCACATGAGTGAGGACAAAGTGCGCAGAAAAGACTGGTGTTGGTCTGTGAGGGCAGTCTATGTCCTAGGAAAGCTATCAGATGTAAGCGGGTCTGGCCTCGAGGAGGCGGGACGTTACACTGGTCAACTGGTGTAATAGCTCTAGAGTAAGGCCTTGTTTGGATGTGCATGTATTCATCTCAATCCACATGTATTGAAGTGGATTAGAATCATGTGGATTGAAATGGATACACATGCATCCGAACAAGGCCTAAATAAAGTAGGCGAATATGGTTGGGGCTAAAGTGAGCGGAGACTATCTATTAGGTAATAATAATTTGTTTTTGTTTTCGGTTCTTGATGTTAATGTTTTTTTACCTTATTTTTGTGTCACCAATATTCATCATGTATTTGTAGTCATACAGGTGTAAATTAAACAAAATTCTATTCGTCAAACACGAACTGAGGAAAAGCTGAGATGTAAATAAATTGTATGTTTTTAAATTTTATTTCTATATTTGACCTACAAATATTTTCTGATATTATTTTTGAGATATTTAATGCAGAAAAGTATTGGTCTTTTTTGTGCTCGAGCATATGCAATTGTTTATTTGTTTCCTTCCAGCTATCTGAATAATTGTTATTTGTGCATAAACCTAAGTCAACTAAGAAATATGTCAACAGATAGCAAATATTATTTTTTCTCTTTTTTATGATTTGTGATGCTTGTGAGAACTTTTTAAGATAGTATTTCCAAGTCTATTTTGCTTTAACTTGTTTAGAAATTAGTTTGATGGTCATCAAGTAGCTTATGCATGAGATTACTACTATTAGAGAAAGGGTTTTTAGGAACGGTCAAGAACCATTTTTGAGAGAGCAAGTAGCGTATGCCGCATGAGATTACCACTACTAGAGAATATTTTCAGAGACTGGTCAACGACTATTTTCAGAGGCAAGCTGCACATCCGTCTCTGGTAGATGGTCATTGATCCTCTGTTAGTTTCATTTGTTGGACTCTATTAATGGTTTGTTAATAGTTTCCAGATGGGTTCAAAAGACCTTTGTGCATGTACAACATCTCTCTATCACTAGACTACACACTCATATTAATTTCTATTAGAATATGAATAGCCATGTATAGGCATATGAATAGTCATGTATCTGGTACTCTATATATTCTTGAATGAATGGAAAACTCAAGCCTCACACAAAGCCCGCCACTTTAGGTGCTAGGATGCAAAGGCTTTCGCTAGAGCATCCACAACCAACTACACAACTTAGAATGGGCGGGCCACAAATTGCGACACCAAACCCAAGGCCATCCACTGCAAATTGCATCCTAGCACCTAAAGTGACAGGCATTGTGTGAGGCTTGAGTATTCCATTCAATGAACAAGAATATATATACATGACTACTCATATGCCTATATATGGCTATTCACATTCTAATAATTTCATTTGTCCACCTCTATTAATGGTTTCTACATGGGTTCGAACTCAAGACCTTTCAATATGTACAATATCTTGCTATATTAGACTTGTCGGTGTTTTGTAAACTGGACTAGTAGATTTATACGATTGCCGTGCCGCTCTAGGAACACGATGGTAGCATCTAAAAGACATGAGGATTTATACTGGTTCAGGCCGGAGCCCTACGTCCAGTCTCAGAAATGATTGAGTGCGTGTTCCTCGCTTGAATACTCTAAAGTTCTTACAATTGGGGGTGCAAGAATGGTGGAAGAGGAAGGAGAGTTAGAACTAGGAGATGGACTAACTGAAGGGAAGCTTCAGGAGCCCTACTATGGTGTGAATGTGTTGAAGATGGTGGGAATGATGCCTTGGCTGCTCTTGATGTAGACTAGGCCCGATCTTCCGAAAGGTATGATAGCGTCGATTGGTGGAGATTCGACGTTCACGATCTAGGCTTCGAACCAAGATTGATTCGGAACCCCGCAACCGTTACACCACTGCTCCGTTGGTTATCAACCACGCGAACGCGATTGACCTCGCCAAGAAGGCTTTCTTACAAGCGAATCGAGAACACAAGCAAGAACGGGATGAACGCAATCTGAAATTGCAAATAAATATGAGGCTTATGAAAATAAGGAGTTCAAGTCTTTATTCGAAAGGACTAATCGCCACAGGCGAACAAGATCAAGAACTGGGGCCCTGATTCACAGCAAGCGGCCTTGGCGACGACAGTTGCAGCAAAACGACGTCTGTTTCACGAGGAAATCAAGAACTAAACAAAACCCCAAACCCTAAAGAGAGCGATGGCTGCTAATTATAGAGTCTTGGGCGTCACTCCCCTGGATGCACCCCCTAATGGGCCCAAACACGATACACGGTCCAACGAACCAAAATACGGTGTCGCAGCATCCTGGCAGATTCTAGACGCTGACTTGTGATCACTATTCCCATTGATTCCGAACAGTTTTTGACGTGAGACCACTTGTATTGGATTCTTTATCAAATTAGCTTTCCATCCATATGTGGATCGTCGAAAACGAAGCTCGGATGCGTCCTGGGTGACCAGTTTAAGGCAGACTGGTCCTGCAGGCCGAGACAGACTCGAACTTGAGTTGCTTTGGGCCTCCACCTTGGGGACTCGAACCGAATTAGCCTCGGACCTCCTTCTTGTCTTGGACACCCTTGCTGGCCTCCTACCCCTCCATACCATGCACCAAACATGGTCATATGCATAGGTGTCATGTCCTCATCAGCTCTTATATAGAGTCCGGGGCTAGGGCATGTACAAAGAAGAAGGTTCTCCCAACCGAGGGGTCGTGAGCTTGAGGGATGGGTCTAGCTAACTTGGCTTACAAGCTACGCCATCTTGTGAAGTACGTCTGGGCGTGGTTGTCGTCATAGTCTTCTGCCCACGTCGCGGTGAGGTGTGGCGTGGTGCTACTGTGCCGGCCGTGGTGGCACTGTAGGCACGGTGGTGGTTCGCCAGTTGTCCTATGTGACATGGGCTCTGTTGTGGCCTTCATCATTGCCTCCTATTCTCCTGGGGGCGTCGTACCGGAGTTGGTAGCCACCCTCAGGTCGTCGATCGCCTAGTTAGTCTTGTGGAGTTGGTGGCCACGATCCCGGGCTCGAGGGTCGTGGCTTCCGTCGACTAGGATGGCCTCATAGTCAAGGCCTCCATCGTGGATCCTATCCCATAGTGGGTAGGATCGTACGTATGTCTTGTCATACCGTATTTGGATGGCGGGTCGCCGTGCCGACCGTCACCGTCGGGCGATGCTATCTTGTCCGTGCTGCGTGGCGCAGGGATGGTGTCTTGACTAGACCGAGGTGATTGTCGCCCCCTCGATCCTTGCAGGGTCAGTGTGGCTTGCCTACTCTTGTCAAAGCATGCGCTCTTGGCTAGGCTCGACCTCTCCCCATTCCTCCCAGGGTCAGAACGATGGAGAGGCCGTGAGTCTCTTGTGCGTCGTGCGGCTAAGGCAGAGGGGAGGGGCGTGGCTGACCCTAGCCTTGGCGTCTAGCCTGGTTCACTTTTCTCAGTTGGGCCTCGGTCGTTTGGGCTTTTCCTAGCTGATGTATCGTGGGCTGCTCGGTCTACTAATTAATCGATGCCTTGAGATACCCGGAGATTATAACCTCGACAAGACTACACAGTCATTTGTAAGTATACATATAGGACGCTAGATCGCTCTCTCTTTCGTACGCTTCTGTGTCCATGCCAGGAGCCTAAAGCCCCGTTCCCTAGAAAAGAAAAAGGAAGTAGACGTTCGGCGTTACCAAGCCGCCGCCCTCTTCCAAGAAACCTGCTCGATCCCCCCCTCCTCTCTCCTAACTGGCAATTTTGGCGGTGGATAGTGGAGCGGGGAACTGATCCCTTTTCCCTTTGTTGTTTTAGATTAGGTTTGTATATCCTTGTTGATCTAGGGTTTGGCTCTAGTGTCATTGATGAGGTGGTGGCGACGATGGTATTTTGGAATGAGGTCTCTCCGGTCTCTCCCTACCTCGACAACTTTTGATCTGGCGTCGGCAAAGGACCAGTGAGAGTTTGGTCAATCACATCAGTTGATCTTGTTCAGATCTTGGCAGTTGGTGTGCTTATCAAAGGAAGCAGTTGGTTGGCTTTCGATGCGGCGATATCGACCTCTTCTTTTGCTCTGTTCTACCATGAGGTTTGAAATCTTCAACGCTCTGTTTTGATGGTGAAGGATTGTAAGCCTATGTTTTTGGAGAATTCCTCCAGCCGATGTTGTTTCAGTGGATACTAGATCTCGTTGTGAGTAGTGAGTGGATTTTGCGGTCTTCAAAGCTATGTTTGATGAGGGTGTTTGCATACGGCCCTTTTCTTTGTTGTCTTT